AGTACTCAACAGTAGAGAAGGAGTGTCTCGTAAGTGTTTGGGCGTTGGACAAGCGACGGGCGCACTTACTGTGTCAACCCTTTCACGTCGAGACAGATTATAAACCATTGGGATGGATTAGGTTCTCCAAAGACCCCAGAGGCAAGTTGGCTAGGTCGACGCTACGTTTACAAGAAGACGACTACCCGATAAGCCATATATCAGGGATGGACAACAGAACGGTAGAAGTTTTAGCGCGCCTGACGAGTGACGACGATTTGTCGAACGTTGCCTTCGGTTCAGTGGTTTGGTGCTGGAACAGGACCCAGGACGGTTGGCAGCTCCGCAATGAAAGGATAAACTCTTGAACATGCTGAGAACAGCACGAATAATGAATCAATCTGTGACATCCAAAAGCCAAGGAAAACAATTCGGGCCGTTCGCGCGGAACCTGGAAAAGCTGAAAGTCAACAAAGCCGGAATTCTGTTGTGAACACGAGTGAGACGCTACTCCAGTGCCGGTGATCCCACTGAAGTAGCGGAAAAAGTTGGTCGTCTCTTGTCACGAGATCGCCCATACTGGATGCACCAGAAATTATGATTTGCTTAGGCTGCGAACTTATTGACCGGACGTAAAGAAACATTCCGGTACATACGTGCTGTCGTGTCAGCAGTGCCAGCTGTTGAAGAGAGACAACTGAGGAATACCACAACCTTTGCTCGCGATTCCAGTGTCCGAGATTGGTGAGCTGTGGTCAATTGAAATGATGGGGCCGTTCCCGTTAACGATGCAGGGCGATCAATACATAATCGTGACTACCAAGCACTTCACCCGCTGGATTGAAACTGCGGCAATTCCGGATAAGCGGGATAGCACGATAACACGTGCAGGGATGGAACACGTGGTAGCGGGCCGCGATATTACAAAGGCCACACCGACGGACCAGGGTCCATGATTTGAAAGTGACGAGTTCCGGACATGTCTGGAGAAACTAGGCATCAAAAAGATACGAACCACTCCCTACCAACCTCAGACAGACTGATTAACGGTAAGGAATAATAGGACAGTTAAATAATGGTTGGCGGCAAAAGGGGGAGATTGGGAGATTGTTAGCTCACCGGGCATCCAAGCAAGCAGACACGAGGCAATCCCCATTTCAGTTAACGTACGGCCGCGCGCCCGTATTCCTGTGGATCTAGAGGTGGGAATGTGACCGAATTCCAGCTACCGCCGAGGGATGCAAGTAACAACAGAAAAGTAGGGAACCGAAACCCGAAGACAGCTCAGGCGCAGATGATGGAGAAATCCCGGATCAACATGAGAAAAACTTCCGGAGACGTTCCAATCGGTTCAGAGGCAAAGTACAGAGATCACTAATGCCCGATTGCATGTGGCCCAGGCGAGAGGAAACTCCTCCCGAAGTGGAAGGGACCATATGATGTAAATGATCGACGAGGTCCCGTATGCACTATCGCTCGACAGGGAGATAGACGGGGAGTTCACGCAAGCGAGTTGCCAAAGTGGTATAAACGAGGAGAAAAAACTACGGCATACATGGGGCAGCCCCGAAGGTCGGAGAGACCGCGTGATAGGTCGACGGCCGCGGAGACTTTAGAGGAGGAGGAGTGTGGCGCACTACCAATGAGTTGTATGGTGAAACGAACAGGCGCGAGAAACTCAGCGAATAACGGATCATCGCGGACAACGGGCGCGTAGTGCACAGTCCAACTAGCCCTGAAAATGGGTGGCGCTGGAGCGTTGAACCTATACCGTACCGTCACGGCAAGCTGAGTCGATAGCACAAGGCGCAGCGTGGAATCAAATGGCACCACGAATGATGTGCGCAAATGAGTCCGACTGTTCTATGTTAGAAATGTTATACCATGTATACGTTCGTTCTCCAATACACACCTCAATGGCACCGTCAAGCGTTCTGCACACACAGGTCACGCAGGTCATTCTAAACCGCTTGGTGATCAAAGCTACCAAACACATGACTTTCGCCAATCAAAATGCAAAGCCCTACTCCAAGATTGGCATAGACCTGACCCAGTGCCTGTTCTTGAAAGTATGCAGTAGATGCACTAGTCTACCTTGGGAGCTGCGACACTTTCGATGGCACTAGTGGTAAAGAGATTTCTCTCCGTATTACCAAAGTCCGATTACCTTTCACCGATCTGAGGCATATGTGGCATCGTGGTGTCGTTTCACTCACGGTAAAGGGCAGGATCTACAATGCCTATTCGTGGTCTTGTTATTCGAAGTGGTCCTGACCGATCCTAGTAAATGATTGGCGTTGGATTTCGGCCTTTGACAACGGTTGCCTGCAGAGGATAGCTCGTGTGTGATAGAACGACGATGTTAGACGTCGCATCCTGGGTGATAGGAGATTCCCTTTCGATAGGCTGCACCAGCTGAGACGCTTAGGTCACGTGCTACCCATGCTGTGCGAACGTTTTCCACGGCGCGCTCTACTTTCCCGCGCAGGGCTGTATTAGAAGAAATTGTGCTGTAGTCAACCTACCACGTGGCGGCGGAACATCAAGATGCTGTCTTCCAGTCTAGCTGTTGCCGGTCCAGTGGGTCTTCCGGGCTGAAAAGTCAGATGAAGAACACCACTGGTTGAAGACACTTGAGGACATGATACGGAATCGGGCCAATGGAAAGTTTGCATCAGTCTATACATTGATTATACTGATCAAAACCGTAATCACCAAACTGACAATGAAAGACCAAACGGCGTGTGAAAAATCCCAAAAAATCTTTTCTTGATATATTTTCCATTTTCTGGTCATTGTGCTCATTATGTACATTTAATGGTTTTTGATGGCTCGATATCGATACTATAGACGGCTGATAGTATATAGGAGTACACGATCGTACTACTGTAAGAATACAAAAATAAGCCACCGATCACATTCTTCGCATCTACAAAGGCAACCTTTCATGGTGTGCACTATCCCCCGTTATTAAAACCAGTAAATATGGTAAAGTGCTGTGAAAAAGTAATCCAAAAGCGCGATCGGACAAATGCTTGAATTTGTGGATGGACCTATAAAAAGTGTTGATACCATGTACAGACGCTTCGCTGCTATACGATCACAGCCAGTCGCGTGTTGACAGTGGACAATGAGCAGCTACCAGCAATATTTATGACTGTTAAACATGACGGTTAATCAGCTCAGATTTTTCTTATTACTTCCTTTGCCAGCTTGACCACTTGCACGCTCTTCTCTCTCTCGCTCTCTTTCTCCCTAGTTTCCACATTCGTCGTTGATTATGTGGCAAAGCGAGTAACGGTAAACACCAGCTTCCGTATATCGATGTTCGGGTATCCGTTGGTAAGCGGAACTAAGCGGTATTCAGATTGCTGGTTCGTCCATCCAAATAAAGCAAGGTTTCCAAGTGTTCGATTCCTATATTGCCGATCGCTACTCTTATACGTAAGTTTCGGCCACTAAATTTCAGTAACAATATAGACGGAGACCACCGAAATCAATGCACGGCGGTGCTCGGGTCACTGCCGATCAATGTGTTAAATGGATGCTAACGTAAGGAACCTGACTATTATAGTTAAATGTTTAAAATCAGTGAGGTTGAAACAGTGACGGAAAGTAAGCAATAAACTTTGAGCGATTAACAACTCCAATTACATTATTAAACTACGAGTTCACTATATTATCAGGGCCGGTTGTCTAACTACAGAAGCACTATATTAAAATAAGAGAATGAAAGTAAAATGATGTGCAGGTGTGCCTAGCATCGAGAGCTAAATCGAGGCGAAAGTCGTACACGATGAGAAGGAATGCCTGGTAAAAAAGCGCACAGCTCGTTAGATCGCTGAGGAAAATATTTGGGTTGGTATGGTAAAATGCACCAACTTGCATTGACAATGGGATCTAGGTAAAGTAAAGGAACGTAATAATGCAACGCTGCATTACCATTAAAAAAGGAAAAGGCGAAGCTATTTGATTAAGCACAAAATTAGCTCATCAAAATCGTGCAACGCAGCCAGTGTTTCGAGAACTGTCTATGCAGAAAATCGGGCAGCGTGCAACCACCAAACTCAAAATAATGTACACAAAATTTGCAAACGTATAACTGACTGCAGCTACGCAGCATAACAGAATCAGTTACTCAGGTAGCACGTGTTTACAAGGTATTACAATAAAAAGCACACAAAAACAAAAACTTAAGATGCCAGAACTGAGACCAAGTGGTTCAGTAGAACTAGATGGGTATATAACAGCAAATATGCTAATAAGAGGTGGGAACAAGCTACTTTGCTCTAGTCTACGAAGATTCGACGGAACAAAAAATTTAAGCCAGAGATATAAAACAACAAAATGAGAAGTAGGCTATGATCGAGGTTCGGTTAGCTGGCTTATGAGTATGGGTGCTGCACTGACAGCGCGCGTACTTTTAAGTTTGAACGACGTGAGCCTGGGTTCCGACCACCAACACAATCAACTTAGCATAACTCACACGGCGGTTTCATTCATCTGCAAGGCATTGGTCAACCGGTACTTGCATCCAGCTGCTAAGCAATGCTTCGGATGACTGCAGAGGATACTACTGGCCTAACTGTGTGTCTAAGCAATTAAGATTGTTATAGAAACTTAAAAAAGGTCACTAGCTTCCATAAAATTCCGTATTTTCACAAAGTACAGAGTTAAGAAATATAGCTCTCATGATTCGTTGACACGGCACACACAAGTGTCCTGTGTTGACATGTCCGTCAAAAAATAATTTTGTTATCTGCCTTTTACCAGCACGCGATTCTAAAGCTGCTCAGTTGCACTGGACATTACAATTGCCTATGAATTAAGAAGAGAAAGTACAGTAAACGAAATGCCGAAGAGACGTTACGAATTGAAGTGATTTACAAACACGCAGGAAGCACCAGATAAACATACAAAGGTACTGTCTAGATCACCCATGAATGGTAATTAAAACTCGGCCACTTTCGAAGTAAATCATAAACAACTACTTTAGTTCATACGAATGAATGGGCACTTACAGTATAAAACAGCGTTTCGATTTACTTTGACGCGAAAAGCGTGAAGCAAGCGGAGGAGTGACCATGTTGAATGAGAGTGTTGGGAAACACCTAGATTCAGGAATGCTGCGCTTTCAGCACAGCTGCGTAGTTGACTGTGCATGTACCTGGAGAGCAAAATAAAAGAAGGAACTCATATAGGGGCTTATACGTAAAGTAAATTACAGAAAGTGACTACAGATGCTCATTTGTCAAAAGAATATGTAGAGCGTTAATTCGATTAGACGAAATGTGGTACTACGCGAATAGCTCGTCTATGCTGTGGTCCAATGCAAAAGGTTAAACTTGGAATAAAAACTGCGCTGCAGGAACTCATAAACCGGATCACGTTATTGAAATGGAACTACCAATATAGTGTCGCATGAGATGTTGCAGTAGTTAGAGATTGTTCATAAAATGGAAATAAATTAGTCAAGATTAGGTGTAAATAACACCCCAGATAAACAGACAGAAAACCATGACTAGATGTAAAGTGTAGTTACCTGAAGCTACCCTCTTGTCTTTCTTGCTCGTAAACAGCCGTAGACGTCCAGGTCATGAGCGATCGAGTGAGAACAGCGAAAACAATGAACAAAAGGAAAGCCGAGATAGGGCCAAGCCAACCAGCTCTGTTGAGGAGAAGAATGATGCGAAAGTAAACTTACTTCTCGACACACTTGTACGTATAGAAAATAATCAAAATCGGGTTTATTATGAAAAGTGGAAGAATTTCTGTTAGTGTATTACAAGCAATGCTGATATCTTCAGTAAACCGCTGATCCCTATCACATAATGGAATGACATGGGCAACACGTAAGGTACGGGTTATCCAGATCCACCAGCTGATTAAGTGTGTAGAAATGTTTGCATCGAAAATAAGCCCGGTGCAAACGTGTAGTCAAAGCGTGTCGTAATAGAACTGCCAGATGTCCAGAGATCATGTTCTTTACGGCGACGGTCTAATATTATTTTTCGAGTTCATTTTGTTCACAGAAAAACATAACTAACCAGTGATATGGACACCACAAATAAGACGGACAACTTGATAGTCCAAGTAAACCTTATGTAACTTTTTGAAGTCAGGGCAGCATAAAATTCGGAGGCAATCAGTCCAACTTGATAAGCGATATACTCGTCTGAAAATAAACTAAAAACAGCAGGTGCGGAACAATTTACAGCATCCTCCAGAAATCAGCAAGCAAAGCGCAAGAATTATGGCAGAAAAAGAAGAGTTTCCCAATGCTTTAAACACCAGTTTCAGAAATGCAATGACGAAATGAAGGCCGGAACCGATTCTAAAAAAGATGTGGTAAAATAAGACTAAGCCATACCTCTTTCTTTCCAAAAATATTCTGTTCTTCATTCCAATCAATTAGAAAGCTAAATGTGAAAAAGAAACGAAGAAGATAGTATAGTTGTTGAAAGGAAAACATCAAAGTACAATAGAAAGAAGGTGGTAGGCAAAACTAAGTAGCACCGGTTCCACTAACGACAAAAGCACATTAGCAGGTAGTGCATGCGATTCACCATTATGCAGCCACAAAAGTATGGTGAATACTCAAGATATAAGAAACAGTGGAACCGAATGGATCCTGACAAGGAACCCGTCGCACTTAGGATGAAGGCGCCGAAGCAATGATAAGCTGGAAAAAAATAGTGCAGTTTAAATTCTGACTCGAAGAGAACGAAGCTGTCTGAGCAAAAGCTTGTGTTGACCAAGAAAGTGATAATCGACACAGAAGCCGTCTAGAATGTAATGTAATGTGCCAAACGACTGACAGTTACAGAAGCTGAAGTGTTACAGTGAACAGCATTAAACAGCTGAGCGATAACAAGAAGGCAGTGGGAATGATTTTTTGGAACGATAGATAGCTCATTAATCATAAAAACATGTAGCTTTTCAGTTGCATTTTAAATACTTCCAAATGGCAGCCTCGAGCGACTAACGACTGACACATCTATAACGGAGCAGCACTCAGTTAAGGCTATGCATATATTTATAGCCAAGAATAGAAGAGAGACGTCAAAAACATACCAGTGCAACGGACCCTAATAGTACACGGTGCACTGCTCACCGATATGTTGCAATGATTCGTTTTGGATGGCAATTCCTAAGTAGATACCGAAGCACGCGTACAAGTTTGTCGCTGGCGGCGAGACAACCCCGATCCCAGCGTCACCAGCAAAGCAAAGTGAAGGAAGACCGATGCCTTTCGCTTGAAACTAAACTATGGAAAACAAGAGTTAACTGGATACAAGAACAACTAAGTCAGCATAAAGTTCAAACATGATGGATTGCCTCTGATGGTGAGAGAACACAACCACCGCTAACCTACATGGTGTTGTGAGCTCTAGACAATGTGTTATCTGAACAACAAAGTAAGCATCGAAAAACAGTCATGTTTGGTCAACTGTGGTCACGAAATTATTTGCTGCTACTAAGAACGTTAGTAAGCGGTTTTTATTATTCTGCGATTGCAAGTGATTGATCCAGTGAAGGTCATAGCTTGACAAACCCGAGCTGGAGCTGTTTACCGATGAGTCATACTAATAAACTGAAGGTCACAAACAGTCGGCCAAATAAATCCGAACATACAGGTTGGAGCCGCTCTATTATGGTCCCAATTTTCAAATAAAGCTTACGTTCGGAAGGCAACAATCGAGAGGGAACAGTTCGATCCCAGTCACTGCTAAATGTATTACTTCTGTCATTTTCTACAGACTGGCTGGCACTTGTAAAAGCCAGATTCGAGAGCAGAAAGCCCAGTTTTGCCCGAATGGTGACTGCTTTGACCACAGGTTTATTCTATGTTTGTTGTTGGAACACCGGCATAGTCATTTGCAACACATCGTAGTCGCGTTTCTCGACACTAAAGATGTCTTCGATTCGGTGAATTGACGCGCTCTTTAAAACTGTCGGCTCAGGAAAGGTGTACCCGGTAAATAAGAGTGCTGTAGGCGAATAGTTCGGGCGTACTGAGCGTTTATGAGAACCTGTCATCGTCCTTTAGTGTCTCCCCACTTAGGACAAGGTTGTCCATTGTCACTTTTCCTCTTTAACTGCGCCACTGAGCAAATCAAAGAAACAACTTTCGCTGAACACGAGCTTCAAGGTGTGGAGCTGCTTCTACGTGAGCGACTTGTTGATTTGGAGTATGCCGATGACATTGCCTTAATCTGTGACAGCTCCCAAACATAGTAAGCAGCACTGGATAGATTAACGTCTGTCATTCGTTATGGGTTATGCTTTGCACCTTCGAAATGCAAAGTCCTTTCGCAAGATTAGCAAAAACCCGACTCTGTGCTGACCCTTAGTAATAGCGAGATAGAAATCGTTCAGAAACTTAAGTACATAGCTATTTCAGCACCTGCGGAACAGATAAAGTTACGAACTGTATAGCTAAAGCTCAAAGGGCTAATCTCCGCCACCTGTGGCGTCATCGCGACATCACTCTCGCCCTGAATGGCAGTTTGCTACGCAGCTGTGCGTTCAGTCCTACTGTTCAGCTGCAAAATCAGATCCGTAAAATCGAGGTTAGTTAAGTTTAACCACCGCAAGCTTCGCCGTTTAGCTCAACTCTGGTATAAATACCGTGTAAGCAATGTTCGGCATCGTGTATTTGATACAAGAAGAGCGAGTGAACCACCCAACAGCGTTATCTTATACACCAGGTTCTGATGACTGCACCAAGTGTTGCGCATGTCAACGCATGGAATTCTGCGACATGGGTAGTTTACTCGACTAGGATGTGAGTAAAAGAATGGAGATGCCAAGCGATTACGTGGTCAAGAGGAACCAAGGCTTTCGAATGTAAGTTGGTCACAGTTAGAGCCTTCGACTTCTTGACCGGGATACGAAATATGATTAACACGTTGGTTGTATACACTTGTTGACATCACCAAGAGCCGTTCTCAATATCGTTTGGGTTGTAAGTTACTACGTGTTTCCTCCTCCCCTTTAGCTTCCCTCTTCAAGCATAAGCTCAATTCCAATGCATAATATGACATTGCGCGTTATATTATCCGCAATTTTGGCGTTTGAGCTGTAATACTTTCTTTTCTTTTTCTTTTTCTTTCTTTATCTTTATCTTTTTATTGCCGCACATTAGCTGAGGTATATTTCCGGCCCTCAATTGTCGTGCATTGATGGTGACTAGGATGAAATAAACGTCCATTTACATAACTTATTTTTTTAAGATGAAGCTACCGAATCGCGTGCTACAGTGGAAATTTTCGAATGGAAATTCTTCCCCATGAAAAACGGTGAACATAGTGCGTTTGGTATTCTCCTTTTGAATTATTACAAATCTTTTCTTTTCAGGTAGTGTGATAAGACAATGCACCTTAGCACGTTGTTTTCTAAAAACAACCATGTTTCACATAATTCCTATCAACAATTGCACTTTGTTGATTTGACCTAGATTTCGATTAAGCTCCCACAGGGATTCATCACATGAGGCCTGATTTCTAGGTGAAAGTAAAGTGCACTACTTCAGAAATACAAACTCATCGTCAGAGCTCATAGTTCGAGGAGCAATAATCATTCCTCTTAGATCTTCATGTTTTCTCGTTATTTCGAATTAAGCACCCAAAAATTTCTCCGCAAAAATTCTAGCCCGGTCGAAGAAAAAGCAGAAGTCCAACGACCTAGACCGCGAAGAAGTGTTACCAAAAACGCTGCCAAACGTAGCCAAAAACGACGGCAAAATGCTGTACAACTACTCCATACCTACGTCAAATACATAGGGGGCTAAATGATTTTAGGCTTCAAGAAAACGTAGGTCTACTGGTAAAATTAACCTAAACTCCATATGCTGGCGATCACGTGAAGGAAGTGCACCACTTCAGAACTACAAACTCATCGCCAGAGTTCATACTTCGAAGAGCAATAACCATCCCAAGTAAAACGTCAGTTACCCAAGATAAATGAATAGGCCATCAAAATAAACATTGGAGTAAATTTCGACATAATGAAAATTTAAAGTTCGTTCCCTTCCACAATTAGAAAAGCGTAGTAAGAAGAGGAGATCCGGTGTATATATGCATTACGTATTAGCACCTCAGTACCGTTAAAAATAACCGATATGCATAGATATAGATAACTTTAGATGTACCCAGACTATCTTGAGGTGCAGTGAATGAGGGAAGTTCACCCCTACGTTTAAGGCAGCCTTAAGATGACAAATGAATGTTTTTGTACAAATAAAGCTGGTTTCATCGGCTTGTTGCAACAGTTTTTGCAAACCGATCATCAACAGCAGTACATCAGCCATTTGAACTGATGCTTCGCTACCATACAACCATGAGGACCTATGAAATAAATAATAAGAGGGAGAGAAAGGGGGACTTACTTGAAAACCTTAATGCCCTAAGCAAACATTCTGGGTCAAGGCGCCTACACCTTGTGTAGACAACATACCGTCACAAACAGCTGGCTATCGTGCAAAGATAAGGCGGCATCGGCGAGACAGCTTCCTTGCGGCTTTCACTGCCACGCGTCATAATCAGCCATTACCTCGCAGATAACTCAGCACCAAACATACTTTAAACGGGCAATCCGATTAGGAGACGGCAGCAGACGCGCCACTGGTGTCGGTTGCGAGCCATGTCCTGCAAAGTCTAGAGCCAAGCACAAGGTGAGTCACGTGGACTCCAACCCGGAAGGCGAGACGGACCAACGGCACCCAGTTTGGTTGTAGTGACTTCATTTCCCGCTGCCAAGTCAACTTCTGTCCACCTCGAGCCTTGCGCCATCCCACACCAGGGAGACTGAACAAGGCCCTCCTAGGTAAGCGGTGACCATGCATGCGTAGCACGTGCCCGAGCCAACGTAACTTATTCAGTGCTATCTGTTGTTCCAGGGAGCTAGCATGATCATCACCACCTAGTACTCGCCTACACACATCATCGTTGCGGACACGCTGGTGCCATCCGACGCCAGCAATGCTTCGTAGACAACGATGATCAAAGACTTGAAGGCGCCTCAGACCTTCAGACCGAAGGTGCCAAGTCTCACTTCCATAGAGCAGAACGGCCCTCACTGTGGCCTTGTATACAGGGCCTTTCAGACGGAGGGAAACTCCCTTCTGTCTCCGAAGATGCTGCAGGTTCAAGAAGGTAGCTCTGGCTTTTGCAATGCGCGAGCTCACGTCAGTTTCTATGCGCCCATCATTGCTGATGCAGCTGCCAAGATAAGTGAATTGCTCAACCACCTCGAGTTCCTCGTTAGCAAGCGTCAAGGGGTCATCAAGTGGCTGGTGCTCCTGCAGCAACACTTTGCACTTTGAAAGTGCGAAGTGCATACAAAATAATGGGACCACTCTGGACAGGTTATTCAGGGTTAATTGTGCCGCCTCAACATTGTCGAAAATCAAGACGATATCGTCCGCATAGTCTAGGTCAACTAACCTTCCACTAGGCGGCACTACAACGCTTACATCGTTGGATTCCGCAAGGGAACACTCCATGATAGAATCCACTACGAAGCTGAACACAAACGGAGAAATCGGACAACACTGACGAACGCCACTTGTAGTCGAAAAGCTATCCGATAGGACACCATAGACCCTGACGCGGTCTATAGTGTTCGAGTATAGAGCACGAAAAATGTTCACATATTTCGTCGGAACACCTTTCCGCGCAAGTAATTCAAACAGAATCGATCGATCGACCGAATCGAACGCACTCTTGAAATCGAGGAACACAGCTATGGTCGGTCTGCGGTACGCGTCGCACTGCTCTAGCACCTGCCGTAAAGTAAATATATGGTCTATACAGCCATGTCCTGGGCGAAAACCGGCAGTGATTAGCATGACGCAACACAACTTTGAGCGCTGAGTCCAGCTCTATCCGGTGACCTGAGATCATGTGCTTCCGTATCGGAAAAATCGGCGAAGAGATAGGGGATCTTATTAATTTCAAGTGTAGCGCATCTCGGCACATGCCTACTTATTCAAGAAATCAGTCCGATAAATTGACTGAATTCGCGTGCGACTGGCTAGCACTTCATGGTGGGCTGGATGCCGTTCTCACAGCTGACAAGAGAATCAAGCCTGAGTTGAAAGGATAGTGAAAGCAAGCAAGGGTGATGGCTGTAAAAGAAAAGGAATGAAAAAAGTAGAGGAAACAATAAGATAGTCTAATCGAGGTTTAACGATCTTACCTTATGGATCGTCACAAGGTAAAGTCCGGAATTGCTACAATGTCACTTCTGTCGATTGGCGCTGTTCTCCGTGCCTACGGAAGCCCTAGTAGGCCTCGATCTACTGACGTGTATACATGATCACGGAAAGGTTAATGACCGCCTCAACGGCTACGATCCAGCTTCGCGGACTACTGTCGGGGACTGGTAGGGACTGCAAATATTTAGTATACCTCCGGTGCATGATGCCCAAGGCTTTCAATGCCAAACGGGTACGTACGTTCTAATAGACCTGGGGGCTGCAACAAAAATAAATATGTTAGACGGTTGGATGAAGTTGTCGCTAGAATCTAGTGAGAGCACAGCTATTAATGGATGTGGCTTGGAGCCCATAGGTGTTTAAAGAACAGCATAAGCTTGTATCCACACAATGTCGGGCGAAAAGATTAGTACGGGGTTTCAGACACTTAGATTATCCACAACGGATTCATAGCTTGGGTCCCCACTTGCTGAAATACCGACGTATCCGGAAGGATTTAATTCTTGTTTATAATCCTATCCAACTCTGGATCCCTCTGCCGCGAATAATAAACTACATCACTCATGATCCCATCTTCGTGCACGCCGACTCACACCAGCTGAACTGCAAGAGACAATTCTTCTCCCTTCTAGTTTGTGGACGTTGGAACCCCCTACCTAGCGACTTTGTCTCGGCATCTACTGTAGATGATTTGAAGACTCGCCTGGACCGATATCTTTCCGAAGTACACCGCGATCTCCCCTGAAACAACTACCTAATATCCTGCATCTCAAACCCCGGCCACTTTCCACCTGGCACAGTAAGTTGTTCTTCTGCCCCCAACGCTCCTGATTTAGATGTTGATGGAGTTTGCTTTGTATAATATACCTAGTTATTTCCATAGTGGTAGCAGAAAGGCGAGATGGGGTGTCAAGCTTTGAGCCGGCGTGCATTCTATTTAAATGCCAAATAAGCGCGATGAAGGTATGGCTAACACGCGAGTCCAACCCGGTAAAATGTTGCTTGGCAATTTCATTAAATCCGACCCTAAATCTTCACACCATATGGGTTGTGTAAATCTCCAGCTCTTATGCCCAGTAAAGACGATATTCTTATAATCGACGCGCTTGGCTCAAATACTGGGGCTAGCTGGATGACATTGTCACAGCTGCCGAGGTCAGGCATGGGCTGAATTCAGCCCAGAGAATGTAATAATAAATCAGTTCATTCACCAACCATGCAAGACTAGTGAAAACAAACATGGGTGGTGACTGTAAACGAAACAAGAAGGAAAGGGAGGAAACAACCATGCCGTCTAACCGAAGCTTAAGTATTTTCTTACTCTATAAAATCCCCACAAGGTAACGCTCAGACCTGTTGCAAAACCTGTGGTATGTGTCCGGTCGAGAATTCCGAGAGCTTTCGTGACCAGTGCGCATGCAGGTTAATAGACCTGCGGAGCTGCAGTGCAAAACAAATACGTCGTAAGTAGTTGGATGTGCATATCACAACCACCTAGCACGAGACCATACTATACGAAAGGTGAAGGTCAGACCAGGTAAGATTAGGATCCAAGAACGATATAGGCTTCCGCCTAACGATCGTACTGTTTCTTGTATCGGTAAGCGGACCAGAGCCCCAGGCAATTCAACGTTTCATTGCTTCTTTGCTTCTGTAACAAGAAACGAAGCAAGAATGAGAGTGAGCATTGAGTTTGCATGGATCAACACCAAATATCATTGCACGAGATCTTGCTAGTAAATTTAAATATAATTGCGTTATTAATGGAAACAGGTGTTACCAACATCTATATAAACCTTTCCTGAAGGCTACTGCAGTCTCGCAGCCCACAAACAAAGTAACTTATTTCAGCCGGGCACCATACGGCTCGTGAAAATCTCCATCATGTCCAACGTAGCCTTCTGTTGCTTGAGCCCAAAACGATGTCTACGTAAGTGATCAGAAGCAGCCAGTTCAAACAAATCAGTAGGGCTGATACCACTGATGCCCTTCATTATGTTGAGGGTTTATCAGCCCTACTCTTCGTCTACGCCGTTCTAGGGAAAACGACCCAAGCCCTTTAGTCGATCTTCATATGATCCCATGTTGACCTTCAATCATACTGCTTGCAAGTTTCTGAATCTTTTTCATGCAGATAACAAGTTCAAGTCGGACTGGAACAATAGGATTATCCGGTAAGTGTTCCTTTTTCAGTGGGTCGTTGAACCCATTGACGAGGGACTTCGAAATACAGATGTGCTTAAAACAAAGACGGTGGCACACCCTGTCCAACCAATAACTGCCCACGTATCCTGCCCTAACAGTCCCTGCTGGGCCGGTTACGTGAAGTAAGAAGAAACAAAAAAGCAGAAGGCAAGAGAGAATTAAACAAGTAGAATACTAGAAAACCTAGGTCATCAACGAAGGATCAGACTAAGGATAAGTCCGTTAGGAAAAAGGAAACGTTTGATGTTGCCACCCAAGAGCATATACTACAAATCGACCTGACACGCAAAACCCCTAACCGTAGGTTCCCAAGCCACATGATTTAGAAGCGAATTCCCGCACTCTATAACTACGCGCGATAGACGATTTTCCTCGCTAATCCGACCAGACTGAAATTTTATAGTTGCAACAGGTGACCGCAGAATTAAGGTAATAATGTAGCCGGTCCGCGGGCGTCACGGTAACACGTTAATAGGTAAGAGGTAGATCGGTTTTGATTCCTGTTATCATTACCCCATATTACTCTCCGGCACTTTTCCTTTCCTATTCTGTGCTTCCATAGCTGCTTACTTTACATCTGCCTCTTACTAGGCGGCTCGAGCGTACAGCCGTCTATGAGGTATTTATTTTGCATTGCAGTTTGTCACACTACTTGGACACGGAAGAGCTTAGAACGCCGGACCGGAGGAATATTACAATATCACCACGGAGATACGGCGACCAAGCCTGAACACAGTACTCCAGATGTGGCCTAATCTCTGCTTTGTACGGTGGAGAGAAGACGACTGGTGTTGACATTATATCGATTACACAGAAGGTTTATAGGCAAAAGCGAACATTGAACTATCATTCTAATGCACATGGCAGGGTGCCGCTAGCTTAATATATTTTATGACCATCTCCGAAAGTGTAACGTCTCGACAGCATGCACCCACCTAGTAATGATCCGGAACGATGGAGCTGATTATAGCCAATAATAAAATCCAGACGAAAAAAGGAAACATCAATAGCTGTCTAACCAAAGTACAAGGATCTCCTTAAATCAAGGATCACTAAATGTTCAAGCTTGTATACCGAGCACAAGGCTTGTATACTGAGTGATCAGTATACTGCGCGGTCTTTGCTCGGGGAGACCTCTTTACCGCAGGTTGAATCGGTTTCAAGAGTTCCAGAGGATTCTTGCTTAGCTGAATTTAGCATAACGGAGACTCAGGTCTTCGAGCTACTGCAAGGCATTAATCCCTCTAAAGCTTCCGGTCCTGATTCAATTCATCCGAAGCTGTTGCATGAACTGGCCACTGAGCTGAGTGGTCCGCTCACGTGCGTATTTTCAATATCGCTGGACAGCTGCAGCCTACCTTCGGAATGGAAGGAGGCAATCATCTCTCCGATTTTTAAGGGCGGTGACAGCGCTCTACCCGTGGCAAATTTTCACACTACGCTATATTCACATGGACAAACAATTGCCACGTCAAGTTTGATATTTACACCACCCTTACTTTCCCCATTTATGCATGCAAGACAATGCGCCTACTGCGAAAGTTTGTCAGTAAAATTTGACCATGCCTGATGAGGCGTGGCTCGATGATATCGGTAGTTCACCTAATATACTGAAGCGCCGATGCGCCACCCTATTTTACCATTTTTGTTTTATAGTGCTTCTTGTTCTACAACCAAATCTTCGCTTCTTCTATGGCCTGTCATCTTTCATTTAACCCTCCTCTACCTAACTGACGGCTCGGCAGTCCACATTTCTTTAAGCTCTCAGTAAAGGTCGGCTCCTGCGCGCCTGTGCGGCTCTTACGTTCACTGTACTTTGCGTCCATCTACCGTGCATTTAAATTTAACATTTCACTCTTGAGTCGTTCACCTAATCTAATAAAGCGCCGAAGTGACATCTTGTTCGGCTACTTCTGGTTTAATCGTTTTGCTAGTTCTTCACTCCGATGCGCGCTGTAACTATGATCTTTCTTTCTTAAGTATAACTTTCATTCAGTTAACTGACTGCAAGATATTCCATGTTTCAATATTCTCCCATTAAAGAGCGGTTTCTGCTACGTAGTTAATACGGATGTTACCATTACCGTTCCATGCGTCAATTTGGTTTACTGTTGAAACTGTAGCATTGAACAAGCGGGTGGTTCACCTAACCTACTAATGCTCCGATACGCCCCGTTATTCCACAATTACTAGTTCATCGTATTGTTTGTTCTACAATCAAATGCTCGCTTTAACTACAGTCTGCCTTCCTTCATTATATCTCTCGCCTAATTAGCTGACTGCTCAACAGTCCGTGTTCTATTAATCCCAATAAGGAGCGGCTTCTGCTATGTAGTCAGTCGGATGATTGTCCACATAGCTCAAGGCTTCCATTTGGCTTCCTTTGACAATGTAGCATACCACCCACAATTGGTTCATCTAATCTACTGTGCGCCGTTGCTATTCCTATACCACATTCGTTGGTTTATAGTATTGCATATGTTGCAACGCAAACCACGCTTCTGCTACGGCCTGTCTTCCTTAGCTACAACCCTCCTTCACTCAACTGACTGCTTGGCAGTGGATGTTCCCATAATCACCCAATAGCGCACGGCATCTGCAGTGTAGGTACTCCAACTGTTACCCTCAGTGCTTTCTGCGTCCAATTGACTTACTGTTTACTACGTAAAATCCCACCTTCGAGTGGTTTACCTAACCTACTGATGCGCAGATACACTTCCTAAACCCTAATCGTTTGGTTATAATATTGCTAGTTCCCCAAACTAAGTCTCGCTTCATCTTTAGTCTGTTATTTTCACTAACACGCTCCTTAACTCAACTGACTGCTCACCGGTTCATGTTAGTTTAATTTCTCAATAAATGGCAGCTCCTGCTATGTAGTTAATCCAGATCTTACCCTCACTGTTCCTTGCGTGCATTTGGCTTACTATTGCCACCGTAGCATTCCGCCTTCGAATGGAGCATCTAAGCTATTAAAGCACTTTTGCATTATCCTGTTCCACCATTGCTAGTTCATAGGCCGACTTTCAAAAGTTTATTCCTCATTCGAACGCCACACGTCTATGAACCGTCTTCTTCTCTCTTCCCAAACATTAGTTCCAACACCTTTGACTAACAGCTTGACTGTTTACCAAAACCATGCT